CCATGTGGAGTGGAGCTTTATGGAGGAGATCCAGAGATTGATGGGGCTTGGGAAAAAAGTGGAGAAGTTGGATTTGTGCGTGTGTGTCCTGTGTCTCATTTTCAATTCTGATGAATGAAGTCTCTTCAGATCTATTCAAGCCTCCAGGGGTTTGAGGCAGGGAGACCATATTTCTCCTCTGCCTGTTGTGTTGGTAATGGAAACCCTTGACTTGTTGCTTGGTAAGTGAGTGCAGATTAGGCTGATTGAGGGCTTCAAACTAGGGGTTGAAGGTCCTTGTATCTCTCATTTATGGTATGCTGATGATACCTTAATATTTTTGGATGCATCAGTGGACCAAGTATTTAATCTGAGAGCTATTCTGGCCAATTTCGAGATGTTGATAGACTTAAAGGATTACCTAGCAAAAAGTACCGTTATTGGAGTTGGGGGAGTTTGCAGAGAAATTCCGGGGAGCTGTGCTTCAGTATTTGAATGTTAGGTTGGAGAGCTCCCTTTTTCAGTACTTGGGTTTGCTGGTTGGGGCTAAGGCCTCTGCAGTTTCTATTTGGAAGCCAATCATTGAAAGAGTGGAGAAAAACTTGATGGGTGGAAGGCTAATATTTGTCATTGGGAGGCAGAATTATTGAAAGAGTGCCCTTTCTAGTTTGTTGACACACTACATGTCTACATCTCTCTTCTAAAAATTCCAGCTGAAGTGGCTGAGAAGATTGAAAGATCACAAAGAGATTTCTTGTGGGAAGGATTAGGGGTGTCTAAGAAGTTTCATCTAGTGAGTAGGGAATTGGTTTGTAGGCCGAAGAAGAATGGGGGCTTGAGGATTAGAAGATTGAGAACTTTCAATAGGGCATTGCTGGTTAAATGGTTGTGGAGGTTTGGCTTAGAGAACGGGAGGGAATCTTTATGGAGGACGGTGGTGGTTGGATTTGGGTGGGAATCAAGAGAAGTCTCGACTTCATTTGGGATGAGGGTATGGAAAKGAATCATGAAGTTTAACCGAGAATTTAAAAATCTTACTTGTTTCWTGGTTGGGGATGAAGCTAGAATAAAATTCTGGGAGAATGACTACTAGTGTGGAGTGGGTAGGTCGAATGTGATATGTCCAAGATTGTATAGATTGGTTGACCATGATGTTTCCATTATCCAATGCTATGAGATGAGGGGGGATAAGGTGATTTAGAGCCCTAAACTCAGGAAGCCTCTTCGGGAATGGGAGGTGGAGCCGTGGAGGAATGTGTTAGGTTGTTGGAAGTCTTGGAAAATTCAAATGTGTCAAGTTCTTCAAGGGATGAACTGTGGTGGAAGGAGTGTAAGAATGAGAGGTTCACGGTGAGTGTTTAAGGGATGTAAGAATTTCTTATGGGGTAAGTGTTTGGAAAGGAATCATGAGTTTTAATCAGGAGTTTAGGAGTTTGGTCAGGTTCAAAGTGGGAGATGGCTCCAGAGTTAGATTTTGGGAAGATGAGTGGCTCAGGATAGGGAAACTTTGTGATGTCTGCCCAAATTTATACGTGCTGACTGAACACCAAATCACTATTGACCAGTGTTACGAGTGGAGAGGGGAGCAGTTGATTTGGAATCCGAAATTCAGAAGACCTTTACTTGACCAAGAAGTGGAAGAATGCATCTTGCTACCGGAAAAGTTAGAAGGCATCAGCATCTCTAGGTCCACAGAACATGACTTATGGTGGAAAGAATGCAGAGAAGGAAGATTCTCAGTGAAGTCATTCTACAAGGCAATAGTAAGAGAAGGTATGGAGGCAGATCAGATAAAAGGTGTGTGGGGAAACCCAGTACTCCCAAGGGCAGAAGCCTTTGCTTGGCTGGTAGCACATGACAACATCCTTACTACTGATCACCTGAAGTCTAGGGGTTTACATTTGGCAAGCTACTGTTACTTATACAACTTGGAGGAAGAAACAGTCCTTCACTTGTTTTTGTCGTGCAATGTAGTGAACTTTATTTGGTAGTTCTGCTTCTTGTTTGGAGCGAGTGTCTTCCAGCAGAAATCTTTTTCAAATGGCAAGTGAAGGACTGTTACCTCTCCCATACCTTTCCATACTTATAATGGAATCCCATAAGGTCATAATGCCTTTCCCTTCTCCATCTTATTTAATGTCTCTTTTACTTCAGTAGGCCTAATATGAAGGTATGTGTTTTTTAACACTACTAGTATTGCTAGATTCTCTTCCATTAGCAGTCTCTCCTTTCTGTTCATTTAATGATTTTTCAAAGTAGTTTTTCCATCTTTATTTGATTTTCTCATCTTTTTCTAGGACTCTTTGATCTTCATCTTTAATGTACCTAACGTGGTTTAAATCCTTATCTTTTTCTCAGCTTTGCTAGTTTATACATTCTTTTTTCTCTCTCTTTAGTGCCTAATTTATAATAATGCTCATCATAAGCCTTACATTTAACTCATTCACTTTCTTTTCAACTTTCTTTCTTATGGTTTTATATTTTTCCAGTTTTCTACATCTCTAGCATTTTTCCATTCTTAGTAGCATGCTCGTTTTAATCTAATTATATTTTAAACCTCTTCATTCGACCAAGTTTCTTTAGTACCTAGCCACTTATATTCTCTTGAGAAATCCTTTGCTACTTTCTTTATATTGTTTGCCATTTCAATCCAAGTATCATTAATCTTTCCATATTAATTCCAATTTCCTTCTATTATCAATCTGTTTCTAAATTGATCTAGTTTTTCCTCCTTCAGGTTTTTCCACCTAATTCTTGAACACATTTTCTTCCCTACTTCTTTTCTATTTCCTAATGTGCTCTACTACCACTAGTCTATGCTGTGTTATTAAGCTTTCTCCTGGAATAACTTTGCAATCTTTACACATCATTTGCTCTGTTCTCCTCGTAAGGAAAAAATCTATTTGACTTATGTTTGACCCACTTTTAAATGTTATTAAGGGTTCATAATTTTTGTTTTTGGAAAAAGGTGTTTAAAATTTCCATATCATAAGCTACTGCAAAATCTAGTATTGTACTTCCTGATTCATTCCTCTTCCTAAACCAAAATCCTTCATGCGCCGTATCATATCTTACACTTCTTTTCCCTACATGCCCATTTAAGTCTCCTCCTATAAAAATATTCTTTTCATTTGGAATTTCTTGGATTAATCCTTCTAGGTTTTCCCAAAATTGTCTTTTAATGTTTTCTTCAAGACCTAAGTTTTGGTCTATCACACCTACTCTCTTCTTAGAAGTCACATGCTCACTTAAATGGCACGTGACCTTGGATCTTTTAAGCTCTCTTGCCCAACTAATGGTTGTTGAGCCGGCCCTGAACTAACTTGGGTCTGTTCGAAATAAGACTCCATGCAACCCCTACCAGTTTGACCGCCGTGGCGCCGCCTGCCTTAATCTTGCTATCCATGTGACACTTTAAATGCTACTTGACTTTCCTCGCCACTCCTCCTTTCATGTCACATCACATGTACTTTTTCCTTCCCTATTAGGTTCTTCTCCACCTGCACTCCCTTCCCTCCACCATTGAGCTTTAATGGAGGAAGCAATCCACACTTTGAAGGAAATTCCATTGGAGAATACCTCTATCATATGCGGTATCATCTCTGTTTTAGCTCCTACCAATTTCATATGAGCTGCTTGAAGGTCTGAGGCATCGAAGGAAGCCATTTAATCTCCTCAAAACTTTAAAGTCTTAATGAAAACCTCTTCTGATCAGAGATGGAATTGAAGCCTCACTATTCTTAGGTCAACAGAGATTGTTGATTCCAGAGACTTTTTATTTCTTGACAAGCCCCATCGTTGAGTTGTAACCCAACCCTGATTTGTCTCCACCGATGTTGCAGCAAACTCCAATGGAATCTTCAGGAGAATCAATAGTGCCTTGTTAGTCTCGAAGGGAACAATCTCTAAGTCTCCTGAGCTCTTCAAAGCTCCTTTAATTTCTGCTACCAAATTGCCACAGTCCTTGACTCCCTTTTTGCACCTAGATCATCAATCTATTTTGTTAGATTTCTTTAGAGCCATTAATCCAAGCTTTCGGTGCCATTATGCTTAACACACACTAAATATCCTTCTTGAACTCCTCTTGCAACCTTGCCTTCTCAGTAGAATCAGTACTAATTGCTGCCTCCATTGCCCTTATGGTCTTCTTTGTATCGTTTTGCATTACTAAATTGGTCTGTGAGTATTCCTGTACCGCCTTTGGTAACAGCATTCAACCAGAGGCATCTCTTCCTTCTGGAAAGTAGGTATGTTGTGTTAGTCCTTCTCCATAATACTAATAAATACCTATGAATTGGCCTTTCTGTTTTCTTTGCTTTTTGCGTAATATTTTCTACCTTCTTCATTGTGACAATGCTTCCACTGCTTCCTAGGTTCTGCATCTTTTGCTCCTTCCAGTATTCTTGGAAACCATGAAATGATGAAACAGCTCTTCCGGCTAGTATCAGAGAAGCTTTCCTTAATTCTACGATCTTCAAGACAGTTACTCTTCTTGTCCCGACTTCTTCCAAAACAAACATCTTTGTCTTTGTCCTTAGAAACTTCCTCCAATTTCTAGCTAGTGAGAAATCCCCCATCGTTTCTCTTTCCCTCAGTCAATGTTTGGAGGCCTTCATTTCATTTCAAAGTTTTTTATATTCAAGATATTCTTGAGAGCCTCTCTCTACGGAGAGATCTCCTTCCTTTGGAATGTCTACTGAAGTTGTTCCATTTGGGTTCAGATGGACTGGATGCTCTAATTGCATAATAAGAGATGTAAATATAAAAGTGGCAATTAGGGCAAGTACTGCCATGACATTATTACTACAAACTAAAATGGAAGCTATAAATAACTAAAACCGGATTTCTTCAATATATCTTGATTCCCTTGCTTAAGAATGAAAAGTATTATGCAAATTGTTCTGCTTCCTGCACCATCATGCATGTTCTCTTCATGGCCTTAGTTTCTTTCCTTCTTTTATAATCAGGATAGATCTTAGTTTATTAAGATCAATGTATTTATAGATTTTCCATTATCTTAGGCCACATTACAATGTGAATTTAAAGGCAATTGAGGTAGGTGGTGCTGTTCTACAACTTCCAACAGATGTATTTGATACCGGAGACAGGAAGGGAACAATAATTGATAGTGGCACAACTTTGGCATATCTTCCAGAACTGGTTTACAACCCATTAATTACTCAGGTATGAAATGTTCTTGGAACTCTTTCAATTAGAACATTTATGAAAAATTCTTACACATTTAGTTTGTTATTTTATCAGATAACTTCTCAACAGCCTGGTCTGACATTTCATATGGTTGATGATCAATTTTCCTGTTTCCACTACATAGAAAGGTATGATATTTCAATCAATTCTATTTCTATATTTATATTATTCTATTGTTAGGTTTCATATTTAATGCTTTACAAAATAGGTCAAACATTGTTTCTTTTTTTAATAGCAAAGATAAAATTTTATTAAAATGGAAAAGAGAGAGTGAGAACACCATAAAGGATCACCTTGTAAAGGAAGAAGCCTGTGGTTAACTTTCTCACTTTATCGAAACCAAACTGTTCCGTTCAATTGAAGCCCATTTGTAAATGTCGCTAACATCAGGATCTGATCTTATGAATCTATCAACTAAGCAAGCCCTTAAAACTGTAGTCATTCTACAATCTTTCCTCCACCCTCAATGACCACACCTAAAGACATACTATCGTTCATCACTTCTTTCCTCTTAACAAAATTCATGCATTTATTGATGTGATAACTGGGTCTCTACAAGAAGCTATTGAATTCTGAACCAATGTGAAACGTGAAATTAATTTTGATTAACATTTTAAAATCCACAATAATTCATGCTATTCTTTTGCTCATAACTCCTGCAACTTGGTGAGTACTGTCTTCATTGCAAATCAGACTAACTTATTCATGATTAATAAATTGAGGGTAAAGGGAGACTGGTTTTGGTTTTATCAGCTTTCATTAGACGTTGTCCTTAAATCAATCAATTATGAGAAACTTTGGCACACCAAAATTCCATAATCTTAATCTTTCCAATCATGATCTATAAAAATTGAAGATTTAGCACATCTGGTAAGTAGTCTTGGATCAAGATCAAAAATGCTTCAGACAAGTCAAAGGAAGGTGAATGTGAATATAAAAATTCAGATCAAGGCTCCATTTGTTTTTGGGATTTTGAAAGGGGGGGAGAGTTGGTCAATGGGATTGTGGTTCCCATTGACCAACTTACCCATGTTCTTATTTCAGAAACATGTGGGACCCATGGAAAAATTGATTTTCCTAGGTACCACTTATACCCGGGTTAGTGGTACCCTTCTCAGATTTGGATAAGTTGAGCTTCCCAAGTAGAGGGTAAATGAAAAAAAAAATTAAAATGGTAAAAAATTCCCCCACAAGGTACATTTACCCGATTAAATAAAACAAAAAGGAACATGGATAAGTGCACTTGCCCGGGAATGTAGGGCCCTGAAAAATAAGCAGGACCCAAGTGTAGTGATGAGTAAACTTTACGGTAGATGTTGGTCTAGGGGCATGGACTAGAACTTCTAGGGAAGGGGGAGAAATTCAAGATGTAAGTAGAAGCAAATGGGGAGGTGTGGTTGGTCTTTACTAGGTCCTTTTAAGTTAAGCATTTTAGTTAATATAAGTGTTCCATTGAGGCTCTTCATGCATTTTTGGTGGCTTTTTCATGGGGTTTCTGTCTTGTGTTCTGTTGGGCTGGGGAGTTGGGTCCAGTGGGTTGTTTGTTGTTTGTGTAGTATGTGATTGGCCGCTTGGGTGGACTTTCTTCACTGATAAGAAAATAAATAAAGAAACACAATAAAGGTAAAATGTAGCACTTATTTTCTTTAGAAATGTGTCCCTTTCTTTCTGTGCAGGACTGTGGAAAAGGACTTTATTTTTTGAAGAACTTGATGTTGAAACTTCTTATTATGTTTTGGGATATTTCACCCTCAGCTTTTCCATGTGATTCCAGAAATATCTTATTGTATTAACCATAAGTTAGCTTTGCAAAGTTATACAAGTTTTTGGATTTCAGTAGTAGCTCTTCACTAATTTTCAGCATAAGTAATGTATAGTTTTTGCTGAGCCAGTCTTTTCTATTCCTGCCCAGATTATTACTATTAAATACCAACTTTTCTGCAACAATATTAGAAAGCTTACTCAAAATTGCAGTGAAGACAATCATCTTACTAATATTCTATTTTCTCTTTATCAAAATTGCAGTGTGGACGATGGATTTCCAGTTGTTACTTTTCATTTTGAAAACTCCCTTTCATTGGTAGTTTATCCTCATGACTATCTGTTCCAACTTCGTGTAAGTAACCTGGAGTATAAATATTTATTTATATATATTTTTTTGATTTTCATTTTGGGGATTTTTTTTGTTTGTGGTTTATGCACTTCCTAGTTCCTATCACCTTTCATTCCAAAATCTGACCCTATCCCTATTAACCACCTTAAAGCAAGAGCTTGCAATGAAATAAACTTTAGTGGTCATTATCCCTTTCGACATGCAATGGGATAAGATGCATAAACTTGCCAGTAATAACACCTCAGATTGCATATGCCATAAGCCATCCTTGTCTTCAATTCCTTTCCTCTATATGGTTTAATGGTTAATTCTTTAAGTTCTGCACATTGAGTTTTAAGTCTTCAGATTGCAAAAATGTTAATTATAAAATCATCTTTTTGATCTATCTTCACGGTTTGGTTAAGTTCTTTGTAACCATGGTTCACTTAGTTATTTTATTTGCATTCTTTGGCATCTTCACAGGAAGATATATGGTGTATTGGTTGGCAAAATAGTGGGGCACAGTCAAAAGATGGAAAGGACATGACCCTTTTGGGAGGTATGTGGAAGAAAAAATCATAAAGCTTGATAYTTCTGAGGTTCTGCATTTTCTTGAACAGCTTATTAACATTCTTATTCCATTAGTGAATTTTACAAAGGTGAAGACCTTGTGAAACTAGAAGAAAAATTGAAACAAATTTATTCCCATCGATCACTTCAGAATTTGTAAATTACAGAAATTTAAAAACTGGAGGAGGATTTTTATGAGTACGTCCAGAAGTTCTGTTAGTTGGCTGCTTAAAGCTTGTAACATTCAGAGTATTGTTTTATTGATAAAAAAGTATGGTTTGTATTAATTGTCTCCTTTGTTCGAAGAAATTCATTTGAACACCAGGAAAAGAATCTTCAAAACATTAAAATATCCTGAACGTTTCGTCAGATGAATCTAGCAGTCTATGGTTTTGCATATTTCAGTGTTTTTACCATGTCTATAATTTTACAATATTTCCTATTCAATGTTTCTGATCTGACATTCCAAATATGTTTCCTATATTTGGATGACTGTGTTTCCACTGTTGACATTTTAAACCTTATGTCGTCTACAATAACAATTCAAACATGAACAGTAAAAAATAGAGCTGGGTGGCGATATATACTTATAAAAGGTTTCACCAAATATTCTCCAGGCATCCAATTAGATCTTAGACCACTTTTCCTATCTCTACAAATATGTTTTGAATCAAATAAAACAAGTCCCATTCATAGATCATCAACCTTGTAGCTGTGGCAACAAAAACCATATTTATGGTTTTCTGATTTTTTCACTATAAAATAAAAAGTAACTGTAATATGTCTTGAAAAAGGATTGAATCATGCATGGAAGTTACACTAAAATCATCCTCTACTAGGATTTGGGGTTTTTAGATGGGATGGACAGTCAACCATACCGCTGCAGACAGTCATCCATTTAGCCAGTGATGTCAATACTATCTTGAGAGGTATATCAGGCCTTGGGAATCTTCGGTACTGCTCGATACCGAATAGGTTTAGAGATTGTGATTGAATTCAAAGAAAATAGAGTGACATCGAAGAAGGAAAGGAGAAAGAGAAGAAAATGTCTTGGGAGGCATGCTCCACTCTGTTAAATACTAATGTAATATAAAGAGAAAAGAAAGGCTAATCTGCCCTAGGTTATGATTRATGACAAAAAGCCAAAGTTTACACTCAACTCATAACTACTCAACAGGGAAAAATGAAAAAGAAATTTAGTTAACTTATTTATTTATTCAGCCACTTTATTCCCATGTTTTTTCTTGCAGATTTAGTTTTATCAAACAAGCTAGTTTTGTATGACCTTGAAAATCAGACTATTGGGTGGACTGAGTACAACTGTAAGTATCATGTAAATTGTGCATTTCAGGGCTTAGTTCTTTTATTAAGTTAATGAAGGAAAAAGGAAATAGAATATTTTGTTTTCTGGATGCTTGTTTGGATTCTAAAAATAGCTTTTCTTGATTGGGTTGCACTTGATTTCAGGTTCTTCAAATGTTAAAATTAAGGATGAACATTCCGGAGCAGTATATCTAATAGGTGCACATGATCTTTCTTCTGCAGAGAGTCAGGATATTGGAAGGGTTATGATGTTATTGTTACTAACTGCCATTCTGCACAATTTAATTTACTGACTTGTTGAAATATATGATCATGCATCTTCCATTATTTTTGTTGTATTATAATTGTTTTAATGAAATTGTCTGCTTGGCACAATTTTACATCCCCTAACAGTCATGATGATATATCTTCAAGCATGGATCACAGCTATGAGAAAATTCATGCACATCATAAAGGTGKTTTTTCCCACTTAAATATTTCTGATCCTTAGATTGTTTCATTTGGGGATTTGAAGGTGTAAGCCTTCAGACTTAGCAAGGGAAATGTATCCTAGATTTGAGGGTCACCTGCAACTACTTCATATGAGTTTGAGTTGGATAAAAAACTCTAATATTCTTGGATAATTCATTCATAGAGAAGGTTGGATATATCATGGATATGTCACTGGGGTACATCGGAATAAACTTAAACATGATAAAATAGTATACTGAAATTGGGAAGTCCTGAGAAGACCAATGATCATCCATCGATACTGCATGGCCCAAGGCTATTCAAAACAATTACCCTTTTTTTGGGTTTACTTGAATTGTTTAGTGTTTTGTGCTTTCACGTAAACTCTGTTCTTTGATACGACTAGCGTCTGATACACAATGAGGATGGATTTGGTGTTTTGTGCTTTCATATAAACTTTGTTCTTTGATACCACCAGTGTCTGAATACACACTGAGGATTGAGAAGGAAAGACTGCAGGTTGGGGCGAGGCAGCAGAGGAAGATGGACGAGCGAATGAGGGCTCTCAATGCGAATCTGGTTGGAAGGTTGGAGTGGATTTGGAAGAGGAGAAAGTGGAAGAGTGAGTGACATTTGAGTGGGGTAAGAAAGAGTTCTGGGTGTCAGAAAGTTGAATGGAGGTTTATTCTTGTTTATGTTTCATAGCAGAAAAGATACTGAGTGGGTTTTGGAGCTAGAAGAAAGGAAGAGTAAGATAAGTAATTTAAGGTTAAGTTGGTGGTTTCTGGCATTCGGTCTGATGAAGAAAGGGCAGAGAAGGAGAGCGATGTCGATTGGGGTTCTGGGAATACCTTTCGTTACTTTTAAAGCAATTGGGGACTTGTGTGGTAAGTTTCTGAGTTTTGACGATAGGAATAGGATATGAGAGAAAATAATATTGCAAGAATTTTCTTGGAAATAGAAGATATTTCTGTTATCCGAGTTCGGTGGTGTTCTGTCTTTGCAGGAGAAGAATACAATTTTAGGATATTTGTAGAGGGAGAGGAACATGCTTTCTTTAGGGCAGAGAAGAGTATTGATAGGAGAGAAGTAGAGGAGAACAGAAAGCCGAGAGGAGGATGGTATCTCGTTTTCACAATTCTGTTTAGTTGGAGAAGATGAAAGGTTGTTCGGAGGTTGAAGATGATGAGGGGGGTAGCCAAGGGGTATGGAGGTAATTTTGGGTGGGAAGGAGGCTTTTTTTAGGGAGACACGTGGAAGAAGGTGAGGGAGATCTGGAATCTTGAATTAATGAGGATGGGTGGTCAAAGGAGGTTATCGAAGAGACACATTCTACTTTAATTGAGAAGGGTATTGGGAGTGGGGATGACTTCCTAAAGTTGAAGTTTTGGAATAATAAAAGAGGTGATTATTTAAAGAAGATGAAGGTTGTTAAGGGTAGGGGTTTTAAGGTCAAGGTTTCAAGTTCGAGACTTGAGAAGAAGAGTTTTTTTCCAAAGCTCAAAAGGAAAGGGTGAGAAGTGGGTTCGGGTGGTCGCTAAATTCAACAGTATCGGAAGAAAGAGGTTGGTCGAGACAGCGCTGAAGAAGGTTGAAGATCTGACAATTATGAGTTTCAAGTTGAATCAAGTGTGCATGCCGAGGGAAGAACTGAAACGGCAGGGTGGAGTGCAGTCGGTAGTCCATGTTATTAAAGGCCTGGTTGGGGATGGTCCACAAACAAATACAAAAGAGTGTTCAAGAAACAGGGATAGAAAAATCAAAGGTCAGAATAAGGAGATTATCGAGAGGAGCRTCAGGTTTAAAGTTTCATGTGGGGCGAAGTCTCAATCATCTGTTGCATATGAGAAAATTGCAGAAGAAATTGCTGGGTTAGAGGACAATGAAGAGGGGGATGGATGCTTTATAGAGAAGAGACAAGTTGTGGTTCTTTCAGTTAGCAAAGAGGAGAAGGGAGGAGCTGTGGAGTTTGAGAGTTTGATTGACAGGGATGTAAAAGTTGGCAAGACTTCAGGTATGTTCTTTTGGGGTGGAGAGAAGGTTGCTAAAAAAGTGTTCTGAAGTTTTTGAAGAGAGTGAGGAGGAAAGATTGAAGAAGATCATAGTAGGGGAAGGAGGATAGAAGTGGAACAAGGAAGGAGACAGGTAGGAAGAAGCGTTTGAAGGAGATGATTAAAGTTTCTGTTGAGTGAAGGGGTGGGGTCGTCGTTCTGTCTGTGCATCTTTCAAACAGAAACTCGGTGAAGGCATTTGAATTTTATCAAGGATTTTGTGTAATTTTCACCTTCTTTTCTTTTTATTTTGGTGATGACTAGTGTCTAGGGTGTGGTTGGTTCAGGTGTTGCCTTAACACCTGTTGTTGATTGTATTCATCTCCTCTTTTTATTTTAATAAAGTTTTATTCTTTTACTATCAGGAAAAAACAATTATCCTTTAATTGTGATAATACTAGTGCAATAAACCTATCCAAGAACCCTATACAACATTCAAGAACTAAACATATTGAAATTAAACATCATTTTATCAGGGATCACATCCAAAGAGGAAACATTAAGCTGGTATTTCTTGATTCAAAGCATAAACTAGCCAATATATTTATCAAATCAATTGGTGCTGAAGCATTTACTAATATCAGAAGGGAGAAGGGAATGATTGAACATAGCTATGTGTTTTCTTGTAAAAATGATGTGTTTTTAATGAAATATCCATGGGCCTCACTTGCCCACGCGTTGGTTTTGATGAAATGGTTATGTGGATCCCCCAGGTTTGTGCTTAATAGTTATTTGTTCATCTGTGGTTAATAATCTGCCTTGATATTTGTGCATATAATGCTTTGGGGGGGGAAAGTAGAAAAGGCAACTCCTCAAGAAAATAGGGGGAGAGTTATCATAGAGAGTCTTCTCACTTAGGAGGAGATCAAAGAAAAGAAAATCTCCTTATCAGGGAATGAAAAGAAAAACATGGTCAATCCCTCACATATTCAGGGGGAGCTTCATATAATGTGCTCAAATGATCATTTTGCTCAAGGGGAGCTTTAAATAATTGTCTCACTGAAATATATTTTATCTTTGTGAATACTTGTGCTGAATTGATTATGTTGTGCATCAATATTTTTGGGTAGCATGTTAACAAGGGGTTATCGTTGTGCTCTCTAAATTGTGCTTATTTATTATAATTTTTTCATCAATGGTTTGCCATCAACAAAAAGGTGGAGAATTTTGGCCCTATGTGTTTTAATGATAACAAACTCAATGAGAGTACTGATGATTTGTGCCAAGTGTACAGTTGTTTCATTGAAATGAAATTATGCAAGGTTCTAAGGTTTTGAACAGTGGGGAATCGACTACTCAAAATGATGAGTTGACCTCCCTTGACAGTCAAGACATGTTTTGTGAGAATATTGTTCACGATTCAGCTACCTTGGATAGCCAAGATATGAAATATCTTGTCATTGTTTATGAGTCGACTATAAGTTCTTGATGAGTTGATTACCTTTGATAGCCGAAAGTTGACACTGTTGACACTATGTGTTTTGATGATAACAAACTCATTGAGTGTACTAGTGGTGTATCTAAGTGTGTAGCAATCTATAGTAAGCTTCTTTGTGTTAAAAGAGTATTATAGCTAGAATGCTACAAAGGATGAAGTGGGAGCTCTGCTGAGTTGGTTGCTTGTACTTCAAAGAATACTTACACCATCATCATCATCATCATCTCTCCAACTGATGAAGTTCCAAGCAATTTAAGCATCAAGGCTACTAAAGGACTTAATTGTTTTAGAGTTGCTCAAATAATATTTGCTACAACATCTCATCAAGGAGAAGACTACATCAAGTTGAACTCAATTGTATTTATCTTTTAGGATCTTGATGTAATAGTTGTATGATGCACTCTTTAGATGTTCAACGAGACTGAACTCAACCAATCAACCTTAGAAACCACAAACTATAATGGATTTGGTTCCTAGGCTTTCCTAAGCTTAAATAAGAATTAAGAATTTGGAAAATACTTGTTGAAAGCCAATGGAAGAGTTTCCGAACTTTTAGACAAAAGTCTTCAAGGTTTCTAAGTGTTGGGCTGTCTATCAGACAAATTTGTCTGGACTATGAAGAGTAGTTGACTACCCTAGTAAGATGTGTCACCTAATTGTGGCAGTCAAGACATGAAATGTTAGGCCTGTGAAGAATAGTTGACTACTCCTACAAGATGTGTCAACTAACTATGACAGCCGAGGTATGAAGAATGCCTTGTCAAAGAATATGTATTTTCGTTTTTTTGTGAATGAGTAAAGAAATTTATTAATCAGAAACTGTGAGAGTTACAAGCATTCCAAAGAGAGACACGAGGTGCAACCTCTCCTGAGAAAATAAAAAAAGTTTTACAAACTCAATTAGAACAAGTCACAGAGTAGCCCAATAAAGACAGTCTCGAAAAACCCCTTGTTTGGTTAATGAATCAGCTACAACATTTGCTGATCTGCCCACCCATTGAACACTAACTCTTATATTGGTAGTTAGCCATTTCACTTTTTTGAACAAATCTCTGTAATCCCATGTGATAGACTCCGGGTTCAAGAGCCACCCCACCACCACCTAAGAATCACCTTCAATTATTAAGTGCTCCACCCCAAGCTGGTTTGCAATCTGGGTTCCTTGAACAGAAGCTGCTACTTCTGCCCTTGTGGAGTCACCCACTCCCACCAGTCCTGAAAATAAGGAAATGATCTTGCTGTCCTTATTCCTTAGGATCCCTCCTATACCCGAAGTCCCTAGGTTACTCTGGCTTTTCCCATCAAAGTTCAGTTTAATGAGACCCTTGGTGGAGGTATTGCCCACTACTAGCCAATTCCTCCACATATAATCAAAACTAAAATCAGAAAAACTGTTTAGTGTTTTCAGCCAAAAAATTGCCCATGTCAGAGTGCATTCCTTTACTCTAGAGAGACTTCTTTCCTTTCCTAGGAAGATTTTGGCATTTCTTTCTTCCCAAATGTCCACAGGAGAGTAGCTCTAATGGATTTCCACATAATTCTCCCTTTCCTTGTGTTTCA